TACGGCGCTTAGCCTTCCGCGCGCGCCTCATAGAGCCAATAGACCACCACAGACGGGGCCCTATAGGGCTGATGTTCAGCCGGGGTTGCGGGGTAAGCGCAATGAGGCACCGCGACCTCGGCCCAGAGCAGGAGAAAGAACGGGGTGTTTTTAGTCAGTAAAAGTCTGACACTGTCTCTCGCCTTACCACAGGAGAAGTCATTGGATGATTTTCCCCTGACAAAAAAAAGGATAGGTAGGATAGGGTAGGTAGATTAGGGTAGAATGTGTAGTGTAGGAAGGTAGGGTAGTGTAGGCAGTTAAATGACGAATGCGAAGCCGCGGGTAAAAGCTAGTTATCTTAAAAAAAACATATAAGTACCTCAGCATGTTTCTTCTGCATGTGCAAATTATAATTCTCTTCTGTAGTAAACCCAAGAACACACATTTCACATTTAAAAGGTATCTTCTTAAAGTTGTGATGATTCCTCTTCGACTCCCTCAATCTTATCATCTCCTCTTCGCTCAACACAACTTCTACGAACTTCTTTTTAAATTCTTCGTCTTCCTTCTCCGTTCTTCTCAATTTTTTGTATTTTTTCGCTGCTTTTTTCAACGTTTTCGTGTCCGGTTTCAAGTCTAACGTTTCGACGTATATATTTTCGTTCAAAACCTCTTCTTTATAATCTATATCATTAGCTAGAAAAGGTTCTAAATGGCTTTCATTAAAATTGTGTATACTGACTATATTATTCTTTGTTTCAAAAACATCTGTGTGTGTATTTTCAATATTTTTTTTAGTACTTTGGATATTTTCATCTATGTCTAAAGTTTTGTGTGAATTACGATCTGTTTGGTGAGGAACTTCTTTCTTTACAGATAATTGTTCTTGTGGGTTATTAATTAAAAAATCATTCTTGTATATGTACTCAAAATTGTAATTCAGATTTGTGGTAACTGTTAATGTTGATAGGGATTTGATTTTAGTTTTCTGAAAAAAGAAATGCATTTGAACTGTGGAAGAGCTATTTATGCTTCGGCACGAATGGGTCGGCTCTACCGAAGTGATACCACGGCCTCACAGAAAACTGACTTTGGGATTTACCGTGTAAGTGAGGTTACCGGAAGACCAAAATTTCCCCTCATCCTCAATCCTTAAATCCCTAATAACCTATTAAGAAGCAGCAACGCACTTATAGTAACCCCTTTAGTATTACGAGTGCCCCTTAGTGGGTGGCATCAATTACTTATCATCAGGTAATATATTTGACTATTTGCTGACCATGAAAAAATTGAATTGATAAAAATTAATTTCTTTCTTCTTAACAATGAAACAATCAATTTATTTTTGCAAATAGGCCATAAAACGGCACTTTTACACGTCAATTTATATGTGAAAAACTAGATGAAGCCGGCATTTCCTATCTGACTACTCTGAGAAGAAATGCCAAAACAAACTCAGAGGTCAGTCTCTTTTCAAGTCCAGACAATGTAAAAATAACATAATTTGAGAGAACCGTGCAAGTTCATTCTGTAGTGGTCTTTTGATGAAAGAACCACACCAATTTGAGTGGAACCTACTGCCTACTACTAATCCTCAAGCAGCCACTGGATTCCTCTGTAACTGGCTGAGTGTCAAGCTCTAGGGGCCCGGTATTCTTGACTGGGTTGATTTGAATGAAAGACGCATACAATATTAAGACTCTAAAAGGTTCCGGTACAATTTAATAGAGAGAGTTATGCGTGCGTGTTACGAGCGGCGACGAACGTAGTCCGAACCAATATGGTTAGTGACATAATGTCGACGTGAACATGAACCGGTGTACGGCGGTAAAGCTGTTACAGTAACAGTAACACGATCACATCGTCGCCTTTCCATCATTCAAAACATAACCAGGGAACAGTGTCCAAAAAAATCTATTGGACTGAGAATGCAATGCTAAGAATTTATGTTACCATGGGTCTTCAGGATAACTTTGACCAAAACTTCAATCAGAATCTAAACAATGAAAAACTAATATGTAGGTATATGTTTTCTTCTGGATTATTATTGGTTAATGAGTTTAGAAAGCTAGTGATGCTGCAATAGTGCAATAACAGAGCCAAAAGGCAATAGACAACCACAGACTCAAAGAACCATTAGACGGGACCCAATATGGCCGATGTTCTTATTTACAACCTTGGCCTCAGCTTGGAGCAGGAGAATCCATTAAATGGTTTTCGCCTCATAAAAAAAGGCCAATATAAATGATAACTCAAACTTTACCAGTATTATTCTGTTTCAGAATATCTGATTAATTGGCTGGAGATATAGGACCTTACCTTTTTAGATTGCAATAAAGTGTTCTGTGCTATTTGAACTCTTTTTTTAAACTTGTAAAACTTTTTTATTATGCACCAGCATTCCCAACAGACTTTATGGAGAGAATTCTTCAGCTGAAAATAATGTAAACTATATTTAGCTAGCTACATTGTGTTTTTGAGTGTCTAATTAAGTTTGTATGTGTCTACTGATTCCAGTAACCAAATTAGAATTATTTACATAATGACAAGATCAACCTTGCAGATCATCAGCCTATTAGTGGTAACTGAAGCAAAGGCTTCTCACATGGAGAAGGTTTGAGCATTAATCACTAAATTCAAGATTTCAAACTTCTAATATGTCTAAATAATAATCATAGAAAGTCCATATAACTTGAAAAAAGTCGCATTGGTACTTGCGAGGTTTCGAACCGGAACTACAGGCCGCCACATAAACTCATCAATCTTATTCTTTTCAAGATTCGCAGAAGTGTTGATGCATCCTAACAGAACACCGGCGTGAAACAACGCTTTCGTTTTATGCCGCCGTGTAAGAAGTAACTGGTGATAAGTAAAGTAAATACCTAACAAACTATTCTCCCTGTCTACTAAAATTGAGCCGAATAGTCACATAAATAATTGTTTACTAACCTCTAACATCGAAATTTCTTCTAATATTGCCGATATGTAATGCAAGGAAATTAAATGACGGTCCGTACTGAGACATGCTGCGCATATATTCTTTTTAAATTCCATTTTTAACATGAAATCTTGGTATTAAAATATTTTTTATCATAACAAAAAGATGCAAACTGACATGAAGATAGGTATCAAAACAAATATTTATTTTTAAATCTATATCTATTTTGGTTTGACACCTTACAGTTTGAACCGTGACAGAATTCGAAAATCTTAGTTTCAGATTTTTTATGCATAAGATAAAATTATCCTAGTCATAAAGCGCAAGAAACGTATTTATCAAGTAATTTCAGTCCAGATTTCTTTTAATATTTAAGTTTTTGTACTTACTTTGCCTAAAAGTAGACGGAATGATTGTATACGTTAGGCATACATAGTAGACCATTTAGATAAAAATGTCATCTGTCAAATTGACCCTGACGCCAAAAACAGCTGATTAGCTGTTTGTGTTTGTTTGCAAGCAAACCCGGCGAAAATTTTGTTTGTATTATATTTTAACAAAAGATAGCACCATGTTAATGTGTCGAATTTGTTTAACATCTAAACAAAGTGATAATATAACTGACTCATCGTGTTATTCCAAACTTTTCATTCAATTGTTGGATTTAATAGTAAGTACTTTTCTGAGTAACGTATTCTCATGTTATATGCATTAAGAGTTTTAGAGCGTCTATGCTCATGTACAATAAAAGTAATTTCTCATTCCCTTGATCATCCCATCATGCGTGAGTGGGTGGGCCCATTTCAGTTACTTACTATTGTTTTTTTTCACTTATTGGTTGTAAAATATTTTCTTACAGAACTTCAATGAAACTCTATATCTTTGCATGTGGTGTAAGGCTGCACTAAGAAGAACAATCACTCTCCTGAATTTAGCTTTGGAATCACAAAAAATATTACAGGCTCAGGTAATGATAGTAAACAAAACACTACACCTATTTATTAAAAGTTGCTGTTAAAAAAAAAAACTCAACCATGGAGGCAGTAACATGTGATATTTTGTTTACACATTTTCAGATACCAGCAAACTATACCCAGAAACTAAAAAGTCTACATGCATTGAATATTATACAAAATTATGACATAAATATTCCAGCAACAGAACATACAACAAATAAACAAAAGAAAAATACAATACAACAATATGAAACAACAGTTTATTCATCAAAAGACTACCAAAACAATAAATTAAAAGAAACCGAATTCGAATTTAACGAAATAATTGACAGTCCTAAACATTCCGCATTTGAAAATGAACTGACAGATACAAAGCTTAAAAAACAAGATACAGATTATAAAGAGTATAATTTTGAAGTTATTTATTTAGATTTATGTGATCAAATAGAAGAGATAAAATTAAAAAAGTTGAAATGTAAGAAGTTTGAATTTCAGTGTGAAGAGTGTGGTGTAGGATTTTTGACTGAAGATGTGTTGGAAGATCATAAGATTAGACATACTAAGGTAAGCTCTTTTTTTATGTGGTTTGACCGTAAAGAAGCAGACGGATTACCTGATGGTAAGCAACCAGTGCCGCCCATGGGTACCCGCAACAACAGAGGAGTTACGAGTGTGTTGCCAAACTTTTTGGGGATTGGATTTGGACATTTTGGGATTGGGGAAGGTTTGAGGGAGGGGGAAAATTATGTATCCGGTAAATTCACTTAATGGCAAAGCACAATGGTTATTAAAAAAAACACAGTTTTAGGCATACATTATGGTCCACTTTTATTTATATAGATCCACTTGCTACTCTCGTGCGGTTTCACCCGCTGCTCGGCTCCATTTGATCGTAGCGTTATCTTTTATAGCCTATAGCATTCAGAAACATTGTAGCTATCTATCAGTGAAAGAATTTTGGCAATCCGACCAGCGTTTCCAAAGATTACCCCCTACATACAAACTTACAAATTTTACCTCTTTATAATATAAGTATAGATAATTAACCATTCTCCTTAATTACAGCTTTCAGGCCCATACAAATGTGAACTCTGTGCACTGCATTTTAAATCTCAAGATGTTTTATCACAGCATAAACTATCACATAGAAGGAGATTCAAATGTCTACAATGTTCATATACGTGCAAACGTTGGGCCCAATGTTTGTCCCATAGGACCAAATGTGGTGGTATAGTTGAACCAACTATTTGTGGAGAATGTTCGAAAATATTTAAGTAAGTATCATTGTAAAAGGTGATAATAAGGGTTTAGGTTAAGTCGAGGCCATGGCGCGGAGCGAGAGGAACTGGGAAGTCTTTTTGCTAAGCAGTGATGCTCGCAAAAAAGGAGGCGGAGCGCATGAGGGCACTATCATCCTCACGCTCCAGTCTCCGCATTAAAATACACTTCGGACGTGGTCGAGCGACGATCTCGGGCGACTGTAAGCGCGGGGCGGCAAATAGCGAGCAATAATAGCTCGCCGCTCGACCAGAACCAGATCAGAGACAAACCTAACCGACCTGATGGTAAGCAATCAGCGCCGCCTATAGCGTGTGTTACCGGCGTTTTGGGAAGAAGGGATTCGGATATTAAAGGATTGGGGAGGGATTGGGGGAGCGAAGTCGCGAAGGCGAGTCTGAAGTTAGCCGATTAGCTGCGCAGTACACAATTTTGTTCCTAAAAGATCCATTGCGCGACAGCATCATAATTATTCTTCAGGTAACTTTTATCTAACCATTGCAAAATTAGCCCTTAGTAATGATGTTATATTATTTATACTTATATTAATAAGAATAAATAATTTATATCATTGTTCCAGCAACGAACATTCATTAAAAATTCACATGAAAATACATAAGACTGAGAAAAAATATTGCTGCGCCGAATGTGGAAAGAAATTCATGAGTAAACAGCATTTAAGAGTACATATCAGGTAATTTTGTTAGCAAATAATTATTACGAAATATGTTTAATGACCCCAAATAGTTAAGTAAGTGACCCCCTTGTGCTTTGACGAGGGAAAGCCATCAAATGTCTTCTCCCGCCCAGGGTATGGCGAGAGGGTGTGTTAGACTCTTACTGACTAAAAACCCCCCGTTTCTTTTCTTGCTTTAAGCCGAGGCCACGGTACCTTATTGCGCTAGACCCAACCCAGGTTAACATCAGCCCTGTTATGCCCCATCTGTAGTGGTCTATTGGCTCTTTGAGTTATACGCTCGGGTCTGGTTTTGGTCGGCAAGCGATGGCGACCCCTAGAAGCCAATGTCAAATGACCCCCAATAGAATTTGAGTTAGATCGATATGAGATATTTATAAATATCAAATCCAAACTAATATTATAAATGCGAAAGTAACTCTGTCTGTCTTTTTGTGTTTTCTTCACGCCTAAACTACTGAACCTATTTGTGTTAAATTTGGTATTTACAGACATAGTTTGGAACTCAAGAAAGGACATAGGATAGTTTTTAAAACAAAAAACTGCAGGAAGTTACTATTACACGGGAACAAAGTCGCGGGCAAAAGCTTGTTTGTAATAATTGAGTCATTGAAGGCAAAATAGTATTTTGGTTTTCGAAACCTTTTTAATATTATCACGTAGTTTGAAATTTATATTAGAGTGAAATCTAAAATAGTAGGTATGTAATATAATAGTATCTACACTGCTCCTAGACTGGCCACGAGTGCTAGATCAAAGATCAAAGTCAAAATCATTTATTCCAACTAAACCATAAATAGGTACTTTTGAAACGTCAAAATAGAATATAGTAGTCTGTCAGTCTGTTCGTCAGTGAAGCTAGGTGCTCGTTCCAAATTGTAGATTCGAATGGAGAAGAACGAGCAAGAAACTCCATCATCAGCAGAAGATTTATTTATCAGAAGAAATGAATTTATTCGAAATTAAAATTAAGATGGTAACGCACAGAGCGGTAACCGCACTATCACTAATAGCATTCATTTGATATCAGAGATAGATTATACATATCACTGATGGCACCTAATCGATCGGCGCCTATAAACATACGCAAATGATGAAAAGCTAATTGAAGTAAAAGAAATTTACTATGACTAAGTTCCTTTTTAACCCCCGACGCAAAAAGAGGGGTGTTATAAGTTTGACGTGTCTGTCTGTCTATCTGTCTGTCGCATCCTGGAGCCTGAACGGGTGAAGCGATTTCAATTTAGTTTTTTTTTATTGAAGGTGACTTACGTATGAGTGTTCTTAGACATGTTTGACGAAAATCGGTTGAGCCGTTTAGAAGTTATGAGGGGGTAAGTGGGGAAGGGTAACTGAAAGTCTGCAAATATACTCGAGTGGGGTGTCAAATGAAAGCGCACTGAAAGAGGATGTTGATTACGTAATCGAGAGTCAATGAAATAAAATACCTATAAAAAGTATAAAAAAAAAATATTAGACCCCCGCCGAAATAGATATATGTAGTTGATAATAAAATGTTTGGATCGGTCCCCTAACGCCACGTTTTCTTTGAATTATTACTTTTTGAAGGAAAATTAGATTTATTGTCGGGGGTTTTTTAAATTTTATCCACCGCAGTAGCCCCTTATAAAGCTGTACAATAAAACGTCTGAAAAAAACACCTGTCTATTCTAGATCCCATTCCGGTATAAAGCCATTTTCCTGCACACAGTGCGCGCGTTCATTTTCTACGAGTTCGAACCTGCGCGCCCATAGCTCAGTGCACACAGACTATCCAATACACTACTGTGTAGAATGCCACTCGTATTATAAAACTGACAAAAGTTTGAAGCGACACTTTAAGGAGTCAGCGAAACATGCGGGTTTTGGAAATAAATTGTGAGTAGTATTTTGGTCTTTTACTATTTTAGTGTGGGAGAGCCAAGCTTCGGCACGAATGGGTTAGCTCGACCGGAGTGATACCACGGCCTCACAGAAAACCAGCGTGAAACAACCACAGCTCTTTGCCGTGTTAACGAGGTTACCGGAGGCTCAATTCCTCACGCTTCCTAATCCTTAAATATTCGAAATCCTATATTCACTCGCAACTCCTTTTGGTGTTGTGGGTGTCCATGGGCGGCGCTATTTGCTTACCATCAGGTAATAGGTGCGCATTTGCCGATCTATTCCATAAAAAAATATAAAGAGGAAAGATTTGATTGTTTGTTTGTTTGTATTGAATAAGCTCTGAAACTACTTGACCAATTTGAAAAATTCTTTCAATGCCCTGTGAATATAGAAATTATTTGCGTAAGCTTCTCGAGGCACAGGCATAACGGCATTAAAGGATATTATTATAAGAGAGATGCTTTGGCACGATTGGGCTGGCTCGATTGGACTAATATAACCACCCCACAGAAAACCTAAGCGTGGCTGTTATACGTCGGTTTTTTTTTTATTTAATAGGTCGGCAAACGAGCATTCGGATTACCTGATGGTAAGCAACCAGCGCCGCCCATGGACACCCGTAACGGAGGAGTTACGAGTGCGTCGCCGACTTTTTAGGGATTAGGGATTTGGAGATTTAGGAACTGGGAAGGGATTGGGAAGGGGAAGGATTGGGCCTCCGGTAACCTCACTCACACGGCGAAACACAACACTGTAGTTGTTTCACGCCGGTTTTCTGTGGGGTCATGGTATCACTCCGTTTTAGCCGAACGATCTCCTGCTTCAGACCGGAGCCGGAATATATGTATTATTTCGCTTGACCCGCAACCCCCGTTGGACGTTAATCTATTCAAATACGCGATAGTATGAAAGTAATATCCTTTCATTTCAGATATCCATGCAAAGAATGCACAAAAGAGTTCTCAACTGAAAAGCTGCTGAATTCCCATATCAGTACTCGACATGGTACTGAATATAAGTGTCAACAATGTGATAAGGTTTGTATAAAATTTACTTGGCCCCTTATACATATTCATATTCATTTATTTGCCTTCCATAATGTGTATAAAAGATGTTATTAGGCTTAGAAGTTTAGTGGTATGAGAGAACAGGGTGGAAAGTTCCTCATCCGCCATTGAAAAGGAAGGATCCTCCGACCAGGTGAGGTGTTCGTGCCTGGTGGGCTACTGCCCGACGGTTGTTATCCGTCCTAATTGCGTTGAGAACTCTTATAGCGCGATGTAGAACCTTGCACGTGATTGCGGTTGTTTTGTTGTGCGATAGATATCGCTACGCTACAGAAGTAAAGTACGCTTATGGAACCCGTTAGGTTAGGACACAGCAACATTTTATTTTTTTATGAGTCAAGCCCCCCGCATCCATCCATAATCGCTAAAACTCCTGTGCACTAGATTCTACAGTAGATACAATCATGAAAACACCGGAAAACTGAAGTCCGACCGGAAAGTAGAAGAAGCAGATGTGGATAAGGTGTTACAAATATATGTAATTTTACCGCAACATATTTCACCATGCAGTATGCAAACTACAGTCGATGATAGTAAAACTAGTAATTTCAATGTCCACATACAGTAACTTACATACTATGCATAATTTAATATTATTATTGTAGTGAAGGGCTAGTGCTGAAAATCAGCGCCGCGACTCGAGTTATTGCTCTCGGGTCACGGCATTTTAGCTGAGCACTTGGCCTTTTTGCGCCGCGCATACTTACCTAATTTTCGTATTTGTAATTTTTTTACGGTGCTAATAAATTATTTTTCTTTCGTTCTTTCTTTCAAAATTTATACTTGGCAATAAGAGAAAAAAAAATGATAGAGAGCGTTCTAAAGGTCTACAATTCAAAAAAATCTTTAATAATACAGAAGATGTGTCCACTTAGTGTTAATTTTAATACTTTTTTCTTTCTAGATAGTGGTAATTCTCGGATAGATTTAGGCACTTAAGCAGAAAATGACATTCGATGATATTCCCATTAAAAAAAATGTTCTGTGACTAGAGACCCCTTTTGGGGGTCAATTGTCATAATGATTATTTGATAACAGCGATTTTTTTTGCGATAAGTCGGCAAGCGACCTTCGGATTACTTGATGGTAAGCAATCAGCGTGCCCATGGACACCCGGAACAACAGAGGCGTTGCCCCTTTTGGCGATTAGGGTTTTAGAGATTTAAATAACCCCACTCACACCGCGAAACACAACGCTGTGGTTGTTCAACGTCGATTTTCGGGCGATAGGGATGATGACTAAAAAATAATAATTAGTCCATCTTTTAGAACGCCAGAATAGTAGGTATGTATTTTTTCTTTTGCTTCTGAAACTTAAAATAACAAAGTTATAGAGCGGAGAAAGTTCGCGCTACGTCATTATTTCGTAAAATTTTTACGAAAGAGTGACGTCACGAGCATCTTTGTCAATATTATTCGTATGGACAAATAAAAAAATACGTATCAAGTTTTTTTCTATAATCTAACTGACGGACTAATTAGAATCTTGGTGTTTTAACCCAGGACACATCCCTATTCGTGCCGAAGCATGGCTTTTTAAAAACAGAATGTAGGTATTGTTAATGTAATTAATTACCTACAATGACCTCACTTTATTACATCAGACCAGACCATAGTGTTATTGTGTTTAAGGATAATTTATAACTATTAAAGGTTTTTATACGTGCGTATGTTTTTTATGAGTAAACATTACGTAAGAAAAGTATGTACCTACTTATTTGAAATCATACATTCGTGAGTTCCAGTATTTATTACACGACCGACTGCCCAAAAAGTGTGGGAGAGCCATGCTTCGGCAGTAATGGGTCGGCTCGACCGGAGTGATACTACGGTCTCACATAAAACCGGCGTGAAACAACCACAGCGTTGTGTATCGCCGTGTGAGTGAGGTTACCGGAGGTTCCAAAAATTACACTCTACATACAAGTTACAAATTTTACCTCTTTATATTACTGGTAGATATTGTCTTGAAATAGACTTTCTTACGAAGATGTCTCGAAAGATAAATTCCAAAAAAAAATAGTTTAATTAATATTTGTCTCATTTTTTGTTTCAGACTTTTTCGAACAATTCCAATTTAAAGAAACACATCAAATGTATTCATGTGATAAAATAATGTGTTATTTTATTTGACAACTTACTTCCATCCACGGCTTCGCGCGCGTATAAAAGTAATGCATCCCGGGATTTTAAAAACAGCAGCGTTTAAAGTGATAGCTCGACTAAAACACGCAAATCAGGTATAATTTATAGCATACAGCACTCAGGAACTCCGCGCGCGCCTCAAAGACCCAATAGACCACCAAAGATGGGGCCCTACAGGGCTGATGTTCAGCCGGGGTTGCGGGACCAGCGCAATGAGGCACCGCCACCTCGGCCCAGAGCAATAGAAGGAACCGGGGGAGGGGAGGGTTAGTCAGTGAGAGTCTGGACACTCCCTCCCGCCCAGGGTAAGACGGGAGAAGTAGTTTGATGATTTTCCCCTCACCAAAAAAAAGCACTCAGGAACATTGTCTTTTGAGCTATCTATCAGTGGAAGGATTTTGGAAACTTCCTAATTTTAACTCTTTGTAATAATAGTAAAGAAGTGTCCCGATCCTGCTTCTCAAGGTGTCTCAACTACATCGCTAACGACAAACGACAAAAGGGCTGCTGTTTCGCAAAAATTCAACCCCTCTACTTAAAAATAAATATTGTCACTCAGTAGACACCTCAGGATGGACGCCGCAGGCGGGTAGGCCCGGGAAAAGATGGCGTGACGATCACCTAGTCATCTAGACGCTTATCGCCGAGACTGGTGGACACGGTCGAAAGATCGGGAGGTGTGGAAGCGAGATGGGGAGGCTTTTGCCCAGTAGCGGGACATTTTAGTTAGTTAAAAAAAATACCTTCTCCTGACCATAACAAACACGACAGAAAAAGAATTCGCGAAATTGGTTTAGGCGTTGTTTTTTTTTTTTTTTGTCAGAGGATAAACTTCAAATGACTTCTTGCGCCCAGAGTTAGGCGAGAGAGAGTGTCAGACTCTTACTGACTAAAAACCGCCCCCCTGTTTTAGGCCGAGGCCGCGTTGCCTCATTGCGCTTACCCCGCAACCCCGGCTGAACATCAGCCCTATAGGGCCCCGTCTGTAGTGGTCTATTGGCTCTTTGAGGCGCGCGCGGAACGCTACGCGCCGTACGCTCGGGTCTAGTTCTGGTCGGGCAGCGATCTACCCTTACTCGCCGTCCGCAGAGCCGTAGTTCAGGCGTCGTTGAGTTATGTCCTTAGCAGCAACATATTATGCAATTATTTTTATATTTGAGACAATATTAATAACTTCTATAGCGTAGCGGTATGCGCTGGCAACCCAAAAAGCGTCCTTCCGACGTTAGCCGCGAGAGCGCGCCAGAAGGTTGACCAATGGCCGCCACACATTTGAATCGGCAACGCTCGCGCTCAGATGTAAAATTGAGATTTAAGTTATATTTGTTGAACAATGTGTGTGCAAAGTTGTTTCTTGAACATTAAACTGTTAATTATATTCAGTGAGTCCTAATTTGCTCCCCACCTACACTATACTTCTAAGTAAATAAATAATGTAAACAAGTTCTTTTGTGTTTCATTTGTTTTCCTTTGCCCTCTACCGATCCTCCATTCCGTCGCAATCCTTGAATAACCAAAAGCCTTATCCGTAAAAGGCCGGCAACGCACTCGTAACCCCTTAGGTGTACTATCAGGTAATCCGTCTGCTCGTTTGCCGACCAATCCCATAGAAAAAACAAACAGTGTGGGAGACGGCACTCGATGGTTTTCCTACCGCAAAAAATCTACGTACTAATTAGAAACACGTCACCTATTGTTTCATTAACGGACCTGCCTATTGTTAATTAAAATGCATAAATTATTTACTAATTACAATTGTAGTAATTGGTCAAGTAAATACCTACCTACCTTGTTTTGTTTTGTGGGGGAAACTTCACTAAATGACTTTTTTTATGCAATATATCGGCAAACGAGCAAACGGATTACCTGATGGTAAGCAATCAGCGCCGCCCATGGACAACCGCAACGGAGGAGTTACGAATGCGTTGCCGACCTTTTAGGGTTTAGGGATATGGAGATTTAGGGATTGAGGGGATTTGGGGAAGGATTGGGCCTCCGGTAACCTCACTCACACAACGAAACACAATAACGCTGTGATTGTTTTACGCCGGTTTTCTGTGAGGCCGTGGTATCACTCCGGTCGAGTCGACCCATTCGTGCCGAAGTACTATGTCTCTCCCGCACTTTCAACTTTGACTTACCCTGAATGGGGCGTGACGGAGTGTAGGATTCTATCCTGCTGGCCTAAAACTACCCCTTCTAGTGGTCCAGGTTGATACCTCGATGCATTATTTCGCTTGGGGGATGAGGGATGTCTCTTCAGGTTACCAAAGGCCTAATAGATACCTCACCAATGCATAAATCTCTATAACCTAATACTCAAAAAGCTGACAAGTTGCCAGCCTTCAAGTTGTAGGAGAGCCATGCTTCGGATCGACCGGAGTGATACCACTTCCTCACAGAAAACCGGCGTGAAACAGCTACAATGTTGTGTTTCGTCGTGTGAGTGAGGTTACCGGAGGCCCAATGCGTAAAACCCTAATCCCGAAAAGGTCGGCAATGCACTCGTAACTCCTCTGTTGTTGCGGGTGTCCATAGGCTGCGCTGATTGCTTACCATCAGGTAGATATGTTCTACTTTCCAGTCACAATATGACTAACTAGCTAACTATAGATAAAATAAAATAAAAACATTTTACAATGTACCGTAGCGAAAGGCAAGGCTCACGCACACATGGATAGGTCACACACAAGCATCTGACGTCAACTGACATGCCTCTGCGCACACCTCCTTATGACTTTACCGTGAAGCGACTACAGCGCTTTATTTAACTCCAGCCGCTTGTAAGTAAAGCGCTAAAGTGCAGGAGAAGGAACGGGGTAGTTTTGTTTTAGTAAGAATCTGATTTTCCTTCTCGCTCCATCCTGGGCGGGAGGTGTTAGTTGGAATAAACAGCTGAAAGGATATACTTAAATTAATTTCAGAACAGCACGACATCGCCATCCCAGAAAAGATAGATTGGTAGAGTCGTTTGTTCTGTATTCTGAGGTAGAGTCAAAAATAATTAACAGTTTAGGTAGTCCAAAACTCCAAAATCTTTTAATAATAAGTACTTAATTTATAAGTTTTTTGTATAAGAGAATAGACCTATATTATTAAACACGGCGGCATGGGTCACACTTCCTTCATCTTCTTCAAAATTCTTCTCAATTCTTCAAATTGCTAAGAAATTCTTGCAACATAAAAAAAAGAAACTGTCAACAGACCTAGAATTAAAACCTACTTGAACAACACGGCAACGTACCAAAAAGGAAGGTAGTGTATTATTACTATAGTCTATCGTTTTGGGTAATTATTTAAATGTAAACAATCTTGGCATGACTTTTTTTATGTAATAAATAGGTCGGCAAACGACCAAACTGATTACCTGATGGTAAGCAATCAGCGTCGCCCATGAACACTCGTAACGACGGAGGAGTTACGAGTGCGCTGCCGACCTTTTGGGGGTTAGGAATTTGGAGATTTTGGGAATGGGGAGGGATTTGGGTAGGAGAAGAATTGGGCCTCGGGTCACCTCAATCACACGGCGAAACACAACGCTGTGGTTATTTCACGCCGGTTTTCTGTGAGGCCGTTGTATCACTCCGGTCGAGTCGAGCCATTCGGGCCGAGGCATAACTCTCCCACATTTTATTAAAAAATTGTCTTAAAATTATATGTTAAAATATTTACAAACAGGTATTTAACTAAATCTATGTTATCTTAAAAACTAAATTTAAATAATCTTTGACAATATGTTTTTTTATACGACCTCTTTATAAAATAAATTGATTCCCATCCAGCAGCGCTTAAATAGCTGGATTCACAAAAAACAAAACTATTCAGCCGGTTTCACAGTGACGTCACACGCAAGACAAACCAACCATCCCGCGTCTCGTCAGTTCATTTGAAATTCGTAGTGAACGCACGCCTGCGCAGTGCGTCAAAAATTACCGCGAATGAATTTTAACATTCCGTGTTAAAAAAATAGAAAACATTGTTTATACAAGTGAATGAATAGTGTTTAGTGCAAATATTTATTTAAATTAAAGTGTTTTGTGTGTGTAAACTTTTATTGGATACCAAAAATGGCGGTAAAGTTCTTTCTATCTTTAGTTTGTTTTTGTTTCCTAAAATACTTAAGCTTGCCGATCGGAGTTCTTGCCAAATGTGAAATCATGCCTTTGGGTACACAATTTAGGGTTGAACAGTTTGAATTTATGTCTCAGATCAACTGAAATAGTTCAACGCTTGATTACGGCCATACAGGCTTTCTAAGTCCCTATATGTCCCTCACTTAAAACTTTGAAACCACGCAACGAATTTGATGCGGTTTTTTTAATAGATACAGCGATTGAAGAGGTTTAATAATATCCAAGCAATTCAGTATCAATCGGGTTTAGTGATTGACGGGTCGCTAGTATCTAAGTAGTGTAGAATTGGGGTTCCTGGATCAAAAAATCCAGGAACCCCAATTCCACACATGAAATATACCTACTAGACTATCAATCAGTTGGAGCTAATCGTAAACTTATGATTCAATTTGTCTGGTTAAACTGGTCTTCAATCAGTCTGCCTATTTGTAAGTAGGTATAATCTTCGATTGACATATGTAATGAACTGGCCAAAAAAAGCTCCTATAATTGAAATATGTGCATAATGAATAGGTAATAATAAACTTAACAAAAGAATGCAGCCGTCTTCCAAATTAGGAATACAAGCATACCTACGGTTCGCTATAAGTATACAGCCAAGCGCCACACACGATGATAACTTATATAATATGGATTAATTATGATATCGAAATGACGGATCCTATTCTTCACTCCATTGTTATTGATATTGTTTATTTATACATTTTTATACATATGAAACGATGAATGCATATACTTCTGAACTGATTTCAATGAAGAACTTAATATACCCCTTCGATATAACAACTTAATAATAATTAATCATTATTTCCATTGGTATTTATTTTATAAGTGCATTCTATATTCCACTGCATCGTCTATTCAGCACATAGCAGCCCTGAAATTATAATGCGCTCAGATGAATTCCATAGTCGCCTTATATAGACTGTCGACATACTTACAGCACTTTATGCGAATTGATTTATTATCAACCTTTTTACTGGCTCATTTCAGCTGAGAAGCCAAGGGCCCTTATCCTTCTAAAAGAAAGAGTAATTAAGCCTTTGTCTATAAAACTGGACAATTATAGGTCACCAGCTTACAAAACCCTAAAGGATATAGTGACATGGATAATTTATACTTACAAACAACCATTACCAAATTACCAACCGCAAATCCATACACCTTTACCTTACCTCCGTGATAACTTCGTGATAACATCCAGGCTAGGCTCACTCATATGATTTTTCGAACATGTGAATGCAGTCAGTCGTGCGTTCCGGGTTCAAACCCTACACTTTTTATTGGAATTTAGGAATCAAAACTACTGGATGATAAATAAAATGTATCGTAAGAGGTTATAAAAATCATCATTTCAGTAGAAGGTTATTAAAAAAAATACTATTGAATAATAATTGATTGAACTTTATTTATGGCATTATATCTGACACTTTTAAAGCAATTTCTTTAACAGATTTATAAATATCGTCCATAAAAACATTTTTAACCACATGCTGCACACATAACTCAGCATCACAATTGCATAGTGAACTTATATGATCAGGGAAGTTTTCGGTATCATAAATCTCGATCCTTATAATTTTAGCACCTCGTGTAAGTTTTTTTACAGAGGTAAATGCAGCCGTTGAAGATTTTTTCAGTTGCTTGCTGCTAGGACCTTCTAGGTTCAACTGTTTATCGTTTTTTTGTTCCGCTACCCTGTTCATGGGAATGAAGTTGAACAGGTCGTTTTCATAGTCCTAAAAATAATAATAAGAATCAATATCAATTTGTCACTCATATTATAGGTATATATTATTTATAAATTCAAATGATCGTTATTAGAAGCGTGTAATATTGAATATAAATGTGTAACAATTATTAAGTTGCATTCAATCAATTAAGTTATTACATTAAAAAATTATATGATAATTAATTATATTTAAAGAAAATAACTCACCGACATATTTTATTTTAGGATAGAGTCTTTTGCCCCCGCTCGCTGATGGAATTAAACTAAATTATTTTTATTTTTTCGCATGATTATATCCTTTATATAGAATTTTAAAAATACATTTTAAAAGGGACATAAAGCTCAAATTTGCATCGAAATTATCAGTACTTTAAAAACATTGTAAATGTAATTCTACACTCTAGACAACACGGCGCTACATCGCTTCGGATTGCAATTAAACGTAATTTATTACATATATCGAAATCGGTTTTTGTGTAAGTTTGTTCATCCATACTAATAAACTAGCTTGCCCCGCCACTTCACTTGTGTATATATAATAGTTGATATATTATGTATTCTCTAATGAAAAAAAATATATAACCTCCTTTTTGAAGTCGGTTAGAAAGCAATCTTTCGAGCTTTATGAGGTAAATGGTGACAGATTTGTATACATACTATTATATTTGCTTACCAACGTAAAGGAGGAGACAAACCCAGGTGTAATAAGTATGTATTATTTAATCTGAATGAGATCTACATTTCAGTGTTATTAAATTATATTATGTCTTAGATGAAGTAGATAAAGTTGATATTGCATGATCTCGGTATGTTGCTAAGTTATTTTTCTGCAACTTAAACAATTTCGTATTTGGGTGGTAGATCTGACAAAGCATTTTAGCAAACCCGTGCCCTATTCCCTAATTGGTATACCGTCACGTGGATATAGTGCTATTTAAGAGATCATCTGCAGGGACTGGATCATAACAATTCTTCAGCTAGAAGCAGTCACATCCAAATTTGGAAGGAAGTACCTAAAAACCACCAATCTTCTAAAATGTAAGTATTACCTGCTATACTTCATTCAGTGTTTCATTTCTTAATATTCAATCATTCAAGCTAGTTTCATTCATTTCTTCAATCACTCCATTCATAATTTATGTAAATGTTATCCAATATTTTTATTTGCTATGTCCAAACACTGTTTATTTGTTTTATTTAGTATTCTGTCAATCATGCTTACTCAATATGTTCATTCATGTTCCTCATGTTTCATTTTATTATTATTCAATCATTCAAGTTACTTTCATTCATTTTCTTCGATCACTCAATTCGCAATTTATGTGAATGTTATCTAATATTTTTTATCTTTATTTTCTAGGTCCAAACACACTGCTGACCATATTTTCCCTTCGGAGGACGAATCGTTGGACGAGGTGCAGATGAAGGCCAAACCAAAGGAAAACAAGAAACGTAAGTCGACGCCAACGCGCAGCCCCCAGCCGTCTACCAGTAAGAAAAGCAAGACAGTTATTCGCCCCATACCTCCTGTTACCAAGTCTACGGCTCGCGAAGTATTTGGGAGTGACAGCGACGACGACGCGGTAGACGTACCCGCGGAGAAGAAGCCTCCGGTTATTTACTCCTACGTCACAAGGAGACTGGCCAATGGCTTTTCTCGTCAAATAGATGAGAATAAAAAAGGTGCGTTCTACATTGAACTTAAGGTTTACAAGTGTGATGAGATAGAGCGGATTCAACCCGTGAATAGGTGGCGTCACTCAGTGATCACTATAAAAAATAAAACGGACGAAGATTCTGAATCTTGGCGGCACTTGAATGAATTTATTATAAGTACTAGGCGGGAGTTCAAACGCTGTACTCCAACGTTTATAAGTTCATACCAGTAATTAAGTACCTATGTATTATACTCAATTATTGGTACGAGATATTATTACATGTAATCAGTTATTTTATAACATATATAATCATATATTAATCATAGGTACTCCTACATATTACATTATATACAGTGAATTAGTTTTTAAGTTTTTTTGTAACCCACTATCTCTTAATTAAAGTATTTAGTACGATAAAAATGTGTTATATTTATTTTGTTTCCAGTTACACAAGCCAGTAATGCGACACCAGCAAGTTCAGATACTTATAATGATTTATACGAAACTAAGATCCCAGAACATGAATATGAAACGAATATTAATGAGACTAATTGTTTATTAAAAAGATATTGTGAGAAATGTAAAATTGAGATCCCCGAACATAAATACAGATACCATAAGAGAACGAATATCCATAAATCAAATTGTTTAGTAAAGTCAAATTTTGAAAATGTTGATATTATAGCTACTGCATTTAAAAACCGGATTCTGACTTATCGCTTAAATCCATCTATAGGAAATGAGTACCTCACACCAGAGGCGTTCTTAGATGAAAAGCGAAAAGATGTTTATAATATAATTAAAATGTTATTAATGAGACATAACTGCATTAAAGTTAATTTCGAGCTGTTTGCTTACTTTTTACTGCCTACGTTAGGTGAGCAACAGCTTAAGTCATTTAATACTAAATATGAAATTATATATAATAATACTGATTTTGATGAGACATATTTGAATGTAATAGAAACATTTAAAAGAAAATTTACCGAATTTGAACATTGTCAATCCGGATGGTCATTTGTTTCAATAAATCATTTAGAAATAAATATAAATAAATATTGCCCCATGCGGGGTGGTACTTATTTAGAGCTACCAGATGTTATTAAAAACACAAAGAGCTGTTTGAATATACATAATAATGATGAATACTGTTTTTTGTGGAGCATAGTTGCAGCACTATATCCAGCTAAAAATAATGTTTGCAGGGTCAATTCCTATCCACATTTTAGTAAAGTACTTAATACACAAGGAATTTCATTTCCACCTTCACATAAAGATATAAAATTATTTGAAAAAAATAATTGTGACTTGAGTATTAATATTTATGGATTTGATAAACATTGTACTATAACTGGCCCTATTTATGTGACGAATTGCAGGAAAGATAAACATATTAACTTACTGTACTTTGAAAAACATAATAAAGGTCATTACTGTTTGATAAAAAATCTGCTACGTTTAGTACGACGACAAGTTTCATGCCATAAGGGACGAATGTATTTATGTGAGACATGTTTACAATTTTTTACTTCTGAAATGAAGTATAATTC